AGAGAGAGACAGAGAGAGAGACAGAGAGAGAGAGAGAGGTTTAAAGTGAACATCGTGGGTCAAAGTTCAGTATCCATTGTCACAGGAAGTAACTTCACTCAAAGTGAACAGGAGGTGAGGGTTTGACACCGACTGTGCCCTCCAGCTGAGCATTGAGACACGTGGAGCGTCTGGTGTGTGTATTTACTTGTGGTCGGCGTCGGGGGCGGAGCTGTAGGTGCAGGGTTCTGTGACCTTGATCTGCAGGATGGGAGCTTCGTAGTAGGCGCTGGGCAACAGGACCAAATAATCCTGAGGGTCAGACAGAGTGTGAGCAGAGCGACTGTGACCCGACAACAAACACGATGAATCAAACAAACAATCATGTGTGTGTGTGTGTGTGTGTGTGTGTGTGTGTGTGTGTGTGTGTGTGTGTGTGTGTGTGTCTCACCAGCAGGATTCCCTCGGCCTCAATAACAACAGTCCAGGTTCCCGGGTTCAGGACAAACGGCTCCACAAAGTTATTCTGTGGAACGTTGACGAAGGTCGGCTCTGCACTCGGAGCGAAGACGATTTGTTTGGATTGTTCTGAACCTGCAAAACATCCACACACAAGTTCAGAGTCAGAACTGAAACACGACACAGAGTCAGTGATACTACATCAGAAGTACAGAAACATAAGTAAGAAGCAGTAAAACTACTAGATTCTTTGGGGCTGAACCAGATGTGAGGGAGTAAAATATTTCAGATACTAGATTATCTTTGTTTTCATATCAGCAAAGAACAACAGTGATACTGACTATCTGCAGATTATTAAAGCTTTACACTCGACTTAATACATTTTATAAAAAACTACAATATAATTGTATAAATACACAGGAATGTAACAAGAAGACACGTCCGAGCGGTTTTTCTCCTGTGAGCGGGGGGGACGTACCTCTGCGGTTCACCTGATAGGCTGTTATTTTACCACTGGAGGTGTCGCCCTCAGAGTTTAAATATCTGAGGATGAAACGAGTCAGATAGACGTCGGCCTCGCTCACGTGAACCTGAAGCTTCACGGCCGTCTACAGGGCGAGCGGGGGAACGAGTGGGGAGAGGAAGAGGAGGAGAGGAAGAGGAGGTGAGGAAGAAACGAGAGACGTGAGTCCTCCGTCTTTAATTTGATCTGTGGCCCCTGAAGGTGAGAGAGGACAGAGCGAGGGCCAAGGGTCGAGGGCCGAGGGCCGAGGGCCGAGGGCCGAGAGCTAAGAGCCGAGGGTCGAGAGCCGCCACCATCAGTCGTTTAAAACGACCACCGACACTTTAACAAGTCACTGATCTCGTGCTTGTGAAGTTATGAAGTGAAACATCATCTTTGTGTGTAAAAAAAGTTTGTAAGTAGAGAAATAGTTTGTTCATATGTCAAAATGTTTTTTTAGCTTTAGAAATA